AGGTGTTTAATTTTAAAAATATTGTGTAGATGAACACTGTATTCAGCCATGACATAAACATGTCAAGGGCAATTGCAGGACAATGGAAAATGTAACAGAAATCTGATGTATCTGCTTTGCATTAAGTCATAAATTTCCTTTCTCTACTTGTATTTTTTATTTTTCATTGATAGCCTCAACAAAGAAACAAATAAAAACCCACTAAAATAAACAAAACATCCAAAAAACCCTAAACACAAAAATTGCAATAGCAAATATGAAAATGCACCTGTTTCCAGGAGGACAGAGCTTGTGTTAACCATCCACATAAGTAGATGCTTTGACGTTCTAAGCAAATGAACCCAGATGCCTGGAAAAGTTCTGAATCAATTACTTGCTTTGGACATGTATAACTTACAAAAACGGGTAAGAGGAGGAGAGAAAGACTGGTATAAATGAATATTATATGAAAGCTTTTCACATTATGGATAAAGTTTTTGCACATCATAAACAGGGAATTTTTCCCTTCCATAAATTAGTTTCACTTTTATTCCCAAACTGACTCTCAGTTTAGAACCCTAATATTTTTTTAATCAAAAACTTAAGCAGTATGTACTATTTCCCTTGCAACTTAGTGACTGGAAGAAATTACAATCCTGGAATAACAGTATGATAATTCTAATCAGTAATAGAATTATGCAATAATGAGGCTGTTAGGTTGTGGGTTTGCCTTCCAATACATTTATTAAACAATCATCACTCTGCTGGATGATGTAATAGGAAAAGTCTGTGTTAATAAATGAGGAGAATTAGAGCTACAATGTCTCTGTCAGATAAAAAGAGTCTGTATGAGAAAAATTGTGGAAATATTCCAGTATGAGGTCTTGAAGAGTTCCACGATGGCATGAGGAGAAAAGTTGCCCTTTCTAAAATTTTTAGAACAGATGCAGCTCATACACAAGCTTTGAGTACAGTACATAGTCTAAGCTCCATGGAAAAGATGAGAAGGCAAGGTTTTAGGTTGTAGGTTGAAGGCTAAGAGATTCCTTATACCAGCAGCAATGCTTTCATTCCATCATTTGCACTGCTTGAACTACACAAGTCTAGTTAGGCTTGTTCAGAAAAGATGGAAAAAAGTGACATCATATCTTCTCTTTGTCAGTGCATCCTTGATAAAGGATTATAGACAATTTTCCCTTGTTCCACAGATCCTTCCCCTCTGTTGCAAGACAGTGCCTGTTTGTGAATGCAGACCTTCTGCAAAGTTTGGCCCGGGCTGAAGAAGGGACATTTCTTCACATCTAGCCTCAGGGGTGGAGTGGCAGGGCAGCGAGCCAGCATTCAGTCCCCTGGCAAAGAGCTTGCTATGCTTTTATGTGTTACTTCTGTATACAAAGAGACTTAGTTTAGCTGTCTGCTGTTCAAGAAAAAAGAGTCTCTATAAGTTTCAAAATAGCCGACAAATAGTGCTTCAGTTCCTTCACTGATGTGTGGGACTCTCCCTCCCATGTGATATACATCAGCTATTATAAAATTCCAGGGAGCTGTATCTGGGTTCTGTGCGGAGCAGCCCTATTTTTTGAGGTGTATTTATAAAACCAGCCAATTTATAGGCCACTAGCCAATTTATAGACTACTTAGGTTCATCTCAAGGAACAAAGTGTCTTTCAAAGACAATTCAGAATGAACTCTGTAGGTTCTGTATTACTTTCAAGCTACGTAAAGTGAAGAAAAGGGCCATGAAACCATAGCAGCAAGTGATCACTGGAGCAGTAGTGCTGACACAAAATTGACTGAATGCATACAGACTGAGGGAGGTTAAATATATACTTGTTTGATAAAGAACAAGGCTCTGAAATATTGCAGGCAGGACATCTCCAATAAATCTACAGGGAGAATGAAGTTAGGGCATAGCTAATTTAAGGGAGGCAGATACATAACACTACTAGACTGACTTTCCCTAGCAAAGTGGTTTTACCTGGAAAGAAAATTAAGATTTCTAGGGATAACAGAGCTGCATTTTATAAGACTTTATTAAAAACAGTGTCCTTAGGTACACAGGTTGAAAATCAGATGCATTCAAGATGCTAGATACACAGTTTACATTAATAACAAAGAAGAGAGAATTTTATAATTTTTTATACTTAAGGACTGGATATTATTGCAATTCTTGACTATTGTTTCTTTTAAAATATATACTTTTGTACTCTTCTAAAAGCACAACAGAATCCCTTGATATGGTAAGTGCTACTTATACTAATTGCTATTCTCCACAAGGAAACAGGGAGGAAATAAAACAGTAATGTGGAGAAATAGCTACGTGACAAGAACCCAGCTAATCTAAGTCCTGCACCTGCAAGGACACTGTCCTTTACCATAGCTGTGTTACCATAACAAGGTGCTGTAGTTGAGAGACTAGAGACATGAGAAAAAGCAGATTTAACTCCTTTGGAATGAGGAAGCTGATATCTAGAATATAACCAATGGATTACTCAGCTTGCAGAATATGTATGAGCTTATTACTTGTTGTGCATAGAAGTTTGATGCTCTTTTCAATAAAGGGAGTTTGCTGATTCTCATATTGAGGGTCCCGAGCCTCCCTGTGCCGTGACACAGTAACTCATCTAGATAATTGGTAACCAGGTTACATCATCCTCACTGGTAACTTAAAAAGCAGATAAACAGCAAAGCTGATATACAGAACAAAGCAATTTTGAATTCAAGGGTGATCTGAACCGAGACAAAAGTAGTAATATCTTAATGGCAGAAATTAATACTCCAGAGTCCATGACACAAAAGGCCTCACGCTGTTGAAAATTTCTCAAGAAGTCAGTATGCTTCCTGACTTTTACCAAAATAAAGACCATGTAAGCATTTAAAAGAACAGGTGGGCTGCAATGGAAAGTACTAAAAATTGAAGCTGTTAAGAACTCTTGCAAAGTGCACACTGTTAGAGTCACCTTTATGGCCTGTGCATTAAAGCAGTCTCAACCACAGAACAGCTGCATCTGTTCCCTTCAGAATCTTGGCCTCTTCAACACACAAAACATAACACTTTTACTCAGGGCATGAATTAGGGATTGGTAGCACAAATAAGAAGCACTTCTTGTGAAAGAAATCAGAAGACATAGAAGCAAGTAGATACAGTGGATACTTCATGTAGATACAGGCAATAACTATAGTAGAAGTGAAGGGAAAAGAGGAAGTTTTAAAACATTTAATGTATGATTCTTACTTGCCTCTGACAATAGAAGTTTCTGTGCTCTGACGGGAAAATCACCCAATTAACATTTCTAAGAGATGCTTGCCAACAGGTGTCTTTACTACATTTTCTAGTTGACCCATCTCATACACTTTTAACCTTTAACTAATTAACAACTAACATTTTTAATGTCAAAGTACATTATGTTTACAGTTAAAACCAAAGCTGCATGGAGATGAGCATGTAACCTGCAGCATTCAGTACACCTTGAGCTTTATTTCAAAACAGATACTCAAAGGAAGAATTGCCTCCTTTTCTAATAGTTAAGATTAATTATTTTCAGTGTTTCATTAACTGAGTATCTAAAACCAGCATTTGAGAGATGACATTTAAAATTAAGCAGGATAATAAAAAAAAATAGAGAAACACATTGAAAGCTAAATATTTTTCCAGGGCAAGTCTTAGCTCTTAGCAACATTAATAGAAACCATTTAACAACAAAGTCTTCAGTAGATCAACCTATAATTGATTTGATGAAGTTGCCACCAGGAGGATATCTGCCACTAATTACTTAGAAGTAGGGAGAACCATAAACAGATGTCTTGAACTGGGTAGATTTTTCTAAAGCTAGTTTTATTCTGTGTTGATGTTATTTGCCTTTGACAACTATTAAGCGAGGCAAATTGAACATAAAGGGTTTTTTAAGTTAAAACTGAAATACTATTATTGCATCAAAACCCATCATCAAATTTATTGAAAAGTCTACTATCAAGATTCTCCTGGAGAAGACAGTCATGGCCTAAGCAGTAAAACCATACATAACATATCTGAATTTTCATGAGAACATATGTTATGCATAAAATGAATGCATAGTGATTTTTATTCAGGTTTTAAATACATTAGCTGGCTTCCTGCTATGTCCAGCACTTTCTGATGCTGTTCTCTTGCGCACTCTTAATCTCTTTGCTCTCTTATCTCTTCTCACTCTCTCTCCTTTTGTCCCGCACTCTTCTTCGCGCCCTTTTCTCTCTTTGTCGCTTTGTCTTCTCCTCTGCACTTCCTCACCCCTTCCTTTCTACATGCTCTCCACTCTTACATCTTTGTCTTTAACTCTCTTACACTTTAAGCCTCTCGTCTCTCGGGCCTGCTCCGAGCTGGGGCTGGCAGCTCCCAGCAGGGCCCTTCACCCACACCCTTTGCAATAAACTGCAAGTTATATGACTTAGCTTCAAAGAGATCTCATCTCCATCCGTCCCAACCATGCAACCCCCCCAGCAGCTCCTACACTTGAGCATAGCTACTGTCAAGTTCTATTGTCAGCTTCATTGGCCTGGAAAGATGGCAACATGGATATCACCTGTCTTTCCTGAGATGGAAACAAAACCTGCTTAAAATCACAAAGAACTCAAGTCTCCTGATAGTAGTATTTCGATGTCATCAAATATTAGCAGAAAGATTGAGGAACATTGAAACCAGGCAAACAGAGAGAGAACAAGAGCAGGATAGCCTCAAACACTGAGCTGCATTTCCTCTTATTTCTGTGACACAGCTGCCTAAGTGCTTCACACTAAATTTGCACAATGAATGTGAACATAGGACTCCCATTGGCAGTTAAAATGTGGAAGGTATTAAATATTTCTTGGATAATACTTCATTATTCATTTGGTTTTGGTGTGATTAAAATAGGACTGCTAAAATCTGTTTCTCTGACTCGCATGTCTAAATTCACCATTTATGTCCTACTTATAAACCACTGTTGTGTTAGTTGCCTTCATACACAGTTCATTTTCACATTACTTGGGAAAGAGGGATACCTTACTAGAAATGGTTCTGTACAGCTCTGATGGGCTGCTGACCTTTTGGCTGGAGGGAATCTGCTGATGGCATGGTGGATGTGCTGTCACTAGGGGAGAGGGAAAAGGGCAGTTCCTCTTCAGTAACAGCGAAAATGTCAATAGTGCTATTTAAATAAATAAATAAATAAATACATTTTCTTACCATATGTCACCTCTGGTGACAGAGGAAAAGTTGATGTGAATGTGACAGCTTCATTTCCATTTTTTATTGCAGAGAAGATGCCCCCATCTATTTCATCTTGGTAATGTACAACAATCATCTAATAGAAGACACCAAAAAGCAAAATTACAGTGTGATAATTCTCACTTAACCCTATGACACAGTGGGGCATTCTTCACCAGATTACAGAAGGTTTCTGTTGTCAGATAAAATGCAATCTACTGTTCCAGCAGAGAGATCGCTGAACACTGAAAACATGCAAACATAAGAGACATCCAAAACATGCAAAGAAAAGACCATCCTTATACACTGAATTGCATTATTGAGGTGAATGCAGTTATTTGTTCTTATTGCCATGATGCAACTGCCCAATTGCTTCACGTTAATTTTGGACACAGAACATAAGACTTCCTACTGGCCACTCACTTCAATATTTAGTGAAAAATTCTTGATTGTTTACCTCCTTAGTTTTCCCTTCAGCAACCGGTGATCTTGGAATTACAGCCTGGTGACTAGCAGACTTCATCCATCCACACCTGTTATGTGATGATTCCCCAGGAATATCATTGTCATACTGCCCAACACTTAACTTTCTGAGCCTTTTCCCTGTTGCATCATCATCTTGCATACCTGTTGCTGAAAACAGGCAAGCTGGTTAAGAAACTAGTTTTTTTCAGTCACAACTGTTAAAACAAACTTCACTATTCTGTCTGTAGTGACTATAATCAAGAATGTTCAAACTGTTTTACAAAACCACATAGGTGGGGAAAAGACACCAGTTGTAGTTTCTTTGCTGACACCAGTTGCAAAATATTCACAGTCCCCTTTGTTGTAGAGGAGTAAGTTAAGCAGCATGTTTCTCCTTGATGCTCATTTTTGAAGTGATCACCCCAAGTGCAATCAGAAGAGCAAGACAGCAGGGGCCACTACAGGCACTCCAATGGAAGCACCTCTTGCCATTTCTGACACACAGTGGCTCTGGGCAGAAAAACCATTGCTGCTGCCCAGAGCTGCGTTTCCCCCACCCCTTTCCCCTCCCAAAAGCAGATTATTGTTAGCTAAAACAGATCCTGGCCCTTATAAACTCAGTTCACTGTACACCTTTTGTGACACACATAGCAATCACACTTAATCACAAAAATTAGATATTAGCTACACACAGAAGCTGTAAATCCTTTTGAGGAACAGCACAGAAGAATAACCTTAACCAGCAGAACGATCCAGGATATTCAAGTATATAAAGCACTATTTTTTTCTAAAGATGTTATTAAGAGCACTGTCACTAGATGCAGAACTATGATTAGCAGGATTTTATATATGGTCATCCACTTCAAACAGCAGGCACTTCCAGATTACTCTGCAACAATTGCTTTCTCTACCCTTCTTAAAAATCAACAACAAGGATCCGTAGAACTTACTGAGTAGTCACAAAAACAACCACGTGCATAGCAACTTTTCAAATACTCCTCTGAGAGCTTCTGTGGTCTATATATACATGCAAAAAGATCTTTGAGGATTAGCTATTTCTCTTAAAGGAGTTGAGTATTTCCCCAAGAAGTTACTTTAATGCTGGGTGTAATTTAAACTTTTACAGTAATTTCCAACAGTGAATATGTGTTGTTGAAGAACATCTCCTACAGACCCTGATCATGGAGCCATAAAACTAGGAATTCAAAGTGTGTCCTTGATCTAAACCAGCAGGAGGGCTTAATCAGCAACTTGGGTAGAGAAAAATGATAGCATACACCTTACACATCAATTTCCTAATCTGAAGTAGCTGAAAAAAGCTAAGGTATAAAATCTGGCATGCAGCATAGGCCTCTGTGTTAAAGACATTCCACCTTGATTACACTACACAATTATACAGCATTAATGCACAAATACATTTCTGTATAGTGGAACAGTTTTTATTCAAGCTTGAAACAGAGACAGGGATTTTAGACTAAAATCCATGATACTTAACTGATTCTGCATTGACATATGTATGTATCAACCTGAGTAACTTGCTGGCAAGTAGGGGCTTATCCTAAAAATATTAATAAATCTCTTGTTAAACTACAGAATTAGACACTTCCAAAAAATACATCTCTGGTAGCATCCAAGTAAATGTTATAATAGCTACTACTGAAGCAAATAAATAAATGCATAAAACCATATTAGTAATTTTTGAAAATTCCACCAATAAGTTAAATTTCAGGGTCGAAATACAGCCAGTTATTAATTTTATCAAGTTAATATTTACAAACGTAGTGAAAAAATCACAACCAATATTCTGAAAAAAACCTGAGATTTTGAAATAAACACAACTGAGATTCTGTTTTTATGGTTGCCACAACCTGGAAAACTCAAAAACTTTTTAAGCATCCATATTTAACTTTTTTCCCCCAACCTGAATTTTTATGTGTGGTCCCTCATTTATGGAAAGAGTGTGTGCTGAAGACCCTGTGAGCAAACTAGATGCATTACTCAAGATTTTCAAAGCCAGAAAAGAACATGAAATCACAAATATCTTCTAAACCTCTTACATGATACTGAACAGTCAGAGTGAATTCTACTGAAATTGCAGACATTTAAGAATGTAGACTGAGTTGATACTATTCCAGCATTTAGCAACATTTGCATTGGATTTCCTTTTTTATTTGTAATTTCTGTAAAGAAAAATGAGTGGGAATCATTGCACAATCTCAGACGATCTGCGACCAGATACTCCCAGTCCCGCCACTTCTCCACAGGCGGCAGTAGGACCAGGAACAGCACATAAGAGTTTCACTCCATCTGTAACCAAGTTACAAAGGCATAGACAATTTATTTCAGAATATTTCTCTTAGTTAACATGGCCTTGTAGACTACTTTATGATAAAAAATATCTATCTTTTGGATGGGTCAAAAAAGACCTTTGAAATTTAACACAAGTTCTGCTTGTCATACTAATGAGAGGATTTCATAATCAATAATATTGGTACACTCATGAAGCTAGCAATTTCTACAAAATTAATGTAGTCCTCAGAAAGCTATAAAGAGGTCTCTCTGGGAAAATGAATATTCTCCTTAAATAGACTGAAAGAGCTTTACATACCAAATTACCATTAGATGCTGCACAACACAGAGGAGAAGTTGAGCTGATGTATTTCAGTAAAGCTTAAAGCAAATAAATCTAAGAGATTAAAATTAAGTGAAGGAGTAAAGCACAAAATTACTTCTACTTAGTTCATTCGTTTCAAAACTTTACTTCATAATACTTAGACTTATATTTTAATATTTTAGGCTTACTAATTTGAAAGGAGCCTTTTACAGTGTAAGGTGTCAGTTCCCAAGACTTCCTAGAAGTTACAAAATTCATTTTTGTTCTTATCGTTTAGCTTAAAGTTTTGGCAGAGCTTCATAAATATCCCAGAAGCACATATTTATTTCTTTGAAAGCATTTCATATACTGTCCTTTCTCTCTTTTCCCAGGTGAAAAGTAATTTTTCCATACAAAAGTAGTTTTGTTTTGCCCAATGAACAAATAATAACATTCCAACAGATTGGCATCAGAACAACATCAGGCACTTACCTCATCAGATGGTTATCACCATGCAAAAGCTACAGCTAACCAGTGGTTAAAGGTTAATCATTGGTTTCTTTAACTGCTTAGCTTTCCTCAACAACTATTGAGACATATTTTTAATTATTGGAAAGAAAACTAAGTTTAAAATGCTAAGTTTAAAATCTTGTCTCCAGTGGCTTGTCAATAAGACTGCTGTATCTCATTTATTAGCAAATTATCCAACTGGTTGCAAATATAATTCCTTGTAATAGCATTGAAATATAAATGTCTGAACTTGTAAAACTGACTTTAACCACTTGAATTCCAATCATCAATACAGCAACAGTTAAAATCTTTTTCTCTGGATATAGCTTAAGCAGTGTTAACTATATTATTTCACAGGCAGCTTTTCACTTACTTAACTTCATTTATTGTCTAGCAGGATTTTTGGAATCTGCAATTCATTTCAATTCTAATCCTTTCACAAGAGGAAACAGGTAACATCTATACATTCAAGAAAATCTGACAAACTTTTAAGTGGTTTAAGAAAATGATATATTTTTTGGAGAAACAAAAGGAAAACTTACTAGGATATATGCTTAATCAACCAATCAATACAACTTAACACACTTTGCAGACAGACAAGCTGGAATTCATTGCTTGTGTACAAACATGTTACACACAGAGAGGAAAAGAACAAGTGCTTGCACTTCAAGTGAGCTTCTTACACAGCTCCAACTGGTGTGGAAAGCTAGCATGACATAAGAAGCTCTACTCACAGAGCCATAAGATGCAGGGCTCTGTTGTGAAAGGAACAGTGAAAATTTCTACAAAACTGGTCTTCCAGTGTGCCTTTCACAGACCTCAGCAGAAGTCATTAAGGCTGAAAAACACTCTGGGGAGAACTGTGTTAGCATTCCAGAAATTCCAGAAGTCAATGCCTACACAGCAGTTTAAAAAGACCTATCAATTACTGTGAAACAAGGGGATACAATGCAACATGAGGCTTAAGAATGCAACAAGGAAAAAGAAGTCTGTAAATTAACTTCTAACAGAAGAGCCTTCAGGGATTATCCCACATACTAAAAATGTTACCAACAACACTATCCAAAATGAAAGTGATCTCCTCCTTTGCCACCATTTATCTTCTACAAAGTTTAAGATTTCAAAAGAAGGCATGTAATGATCAAGCTTTCAAAACAGCTTTATGCTTAAACCATAGCAAATCTACTTTAAGAAATTAGAATCAGCTTTAGAATCATTATGACATACTGAAAGAATAAGTATCTTCAAAGACACCACGACAAAACTTGAACTAAATATTACTGTGGTGGAAAAAGAATAATCAAATATATAGCTAGTTGAAAAACAAAATCTCAGAATATTCTGAGTTGAAAGAGACCCAGCAGGATCACTGAGTCCAAATCTTAAATGAAGTATGAGGATTTAACCCATGACCTTGGTGGATTAGTGATGCAAGTACTAAACAAGGATCTTGATATGCTCAAACTTTCAGATTCCCAGATCTTTAGGAACATAGTTTCAAAACTATTAATTAGAACAAAAGCCAACTATGCTGTGCCAGTGATACATTTTAGAAAGGTTAAGGCATTGAATGTAACACAAAATGCTGCTGAAGTCAGAAAATTCCTTTATTCTTGAAAAAATACCAAATAATTAGCAATTACTAACAAGCAAACTATTCTTTTTAACCCCAACTTTTAACAGCTAGTAGACTAGGAGTGTAAACTCCTTATAATCAATTAGTCTAACAAGCAAATGAAAAGGTCTAAACTCTACCCCAAATTCAAGTAGACCATCAAGCATAGGACACAGCAGCTTTGCAGATCTGTCACTTTAGTTTCATAGTCCATTTACATTATGCTAAAAATGGGAAGCAAGCCCAGTGGAAAATCCAGACTGGTATCTCCAACCCATACCATAATGATGATACACTCAGGCCCACATGCTGAAAATTACAAGACTCTTAAAAATTTGTGGTATAAGTACATGACATAAATTAAAAATCATTGTGTTGCTAAATGTAACTAAAATTCAATTTTTAACTGTAGCTTTAAAAGTTATTTAATTTAGTTTAAAAATTGAATCTAGTTCAGTTATAACTTAAAACTTCAATTTTTACCTTTAATTTACCTAAAAACTGAAATTTACTCTTAACCACTGTAAAGTTAACTCCCAATTCAGGCACCAAAATTTTCCTGAGCAACAGAAATGACAAGTTTTGTAGTGTATTTTACATACAAATAAGGCAGGTGAGAAGATTGACAAGCTTTGTTTTTCTCTCACTTCACAATTTATTTCAGAGGGACTGTGCTTACCCACAGAATAGCACAGTAAATGGGAACATCTGCAACAGTTCAATGCTTTTTAAAAATGTTATTTACTAAGGTATGCAAAAAGGATTTCTTTTTCTCTCCTTTGTCTGCAGAGACACTAGTATGATTTACAATATTCTATCTTGGGCCATCTCCAAAGGTTTATTTTTGATAGAGGAAAGATCTGTGAAGGTATTCCAGACATGTAATCAGACCCTAAGCCGCCTCAGTTTTATTCATTTTGCATTATTTTTTTGAGAGAGGGAGGCTTTGTTTAATGCTCAATTCTGTGTTGAGCTGATAAACTCCAAGTGAAATATAAGACTGTAAGAATTGTGTATCTGTGTAATTCATACAGTATTCATACAAAATTCATTCATACAAACCCAGGGAAGTTTTGAGATGGTAATTTCAAACACCATAACTCATGCATGAAGAAGAATTAGAATTACCTGAGAGCAACAATATAATTTCAACCTTATGGCAAATATAGAATCTCTCTTCCTCATGCTGGCAAATTTAGATAGAAATGCGTATCTTGGTCACAGTCATTGAAACAGGCTGCCCTAAATATTGAATGCATGTGTTTCTGTGTTCTGCCTTCACTCGATCACACAATTCCTCACCTGCATGTAATACTTTTCTAAAGATGCAAATTGTAACATTTTAACAGTGAAAAGGTGGAGTACACAGATGAGACATGGGTGACAATGATGGTAGGTTATAATGAAAATGGGTAAAAACATTTCTGTCCTCTACATTTATTAACAAATTCCTGCTTTTACAGTTTTGTAGGTTGAAGCAAAACATTGATTTCACTTTCCTTTTTTACCGAACAAGCATAAGCCTTGTGGTAAAAGATGGCTGATTTGAGAAAATAAGTCTTACTAATATCTTTAGTAGTAGACTGAGGTCATGTGTTAATTATTAGGCATAAAAGAAGATACAGAGAGTGAAGTAAACGGGGACTATAAGGCTCAAAGAAAAGCGTATATACACATCAAAATTTTTTCATACTACAAACTTCCTGTCATTTAAAATTAAGCACTACTGCAGCACTGTGTTATTAGTAACCGGCAGCTTCATTCACTATCAGAAACATATCTGTGCATAACTCAGCTCACATAAAAGATAAAAATTGGAAAAATCTTAATAAACAGTGCACTGATTCATCTCTGATAAGCAACACACATGACACCGAAGGAGAGAAGAGGTCATCAACCATTGTTCTGCATGGTTCATAAAGATACGTCCTAGCAAAAAGAAATTCAATGATCCAAAAATGCTAAGCACTTAAAGCAAGAAATAATTTCAGACAGAGCCCAGAACTCTGCCGCATGGGCAGTCAGTAGTTTGTGCCACGTTGACCTATGCTAAGGATACATGTGTATAAAAACGTCTAGGAAGAAGCATGAAAGGAGAGGTAGTTGCCTATCTGTCAGTCAGTGCAGAATCATATAAGCAAACAGAAGCAAGAATGCACCACAATGTACATCCCAGCTGACACACATTTCATTCTTAGGCACATTCTTCCAGCTTTGCAGGGCACTGGAAACACGCACGCACTTTTAAGCTATGTATTTTCTGCAGGAAACCACTCATGCAGGAAACCAGATATTTCCACCATCCTGCTGTAACGCAACCCTCAAGTTAGACACACACACACACCATGCATCACATTGATCTCATTCACCTCCAGCACTGGGCGCTCCTCCCATTGAAGAGATTCACGCAGAATGTCTCATTCATCCAATCAACCTCACTCAGACCATTCAGTCCAGATATGCCAACTCTCTTTATCACAGACCAATTCGTTCTATTAATATACTTGTTAGGTCAAGAACTGTTTAAGTCACAAAGTATAGAGCTCCCTCTAAAACCTGACTCTGTAAAATCAGACATTGTGAGCAACTGTTGTTTTCATTATCCATTATTAATTGCTACTTCTTCATCCCCATGGCAGCCAGCATTTCTTTGTGCCATCAATTATGGCTCCTGTGCTGCACTAGTTTAAAGAGCAAATTAAGTGCCTTGGATGTTCCCCTACTTATCCTAATTCTATAAAATTCTACGAGTCTACTCCAAAGTAAGATAAACCACATTCAACACATTCTGGAGTATGGCTTCTCCTCCCAGCTTTATGCATCAGCAATCTTGCTGAGGAGGCACTCTACCCCTTCATCCAACTGATTAATCAAAGTTAAAGAAGACTGGATTTAGACCCCTGAACTACAGGCATCTGTAGACTGTGCCACTGACAACAACCCTCTGAGACCTGATATGCAGCCAATTCTCAATCCAGTGATTCAGAACAGTGGTGTATATAGAGAAAAATATTCCAGTGTTCCTCCTTCTTAGTATTCATTCAGGTAAATAGCTTTTTCCCCATGCTGGTTTGTGTACACCATGCATGAATAAATGTATGATTCTGTATATTTCAGTGGGGCAAGTCCAGATATGTGAATATATAAATTCTACAAGCACTTAGAAAATCAGTATGTGCTGGTGACCTCCTAGTCTCAAGCAGAGGTGGCAGCATGCCACATATTTGCGTTGTTTTACCTCTAGAACCCTGAGTACTTTTAAAATCAAGCTCTTGCTAGTATAAATTGGTTGTTACTTGCAGAAGTCAGAAATGGAACATTTTAGCACTTGACATAAAGACAAACTTAAAAAATTATTATTGTTCTAAAGCTATACAAATTATTTTTCTAATTTTGTTTAAATAAAGTCGATTCTTATGTTCCTGACTACTAAAGTCTTCCATCTTCTACTGTGCCCTGATACCTTCCCTCAAATATCCTGAATTTAAATACGGTCTATACATTTATATTTGATTCCCTTAAATACAGAAATTCCACTATTTAATTCTTTAAAACAAATCCTCTTCTAGATCATTCCCCAAGTACAATTATTTTCACTAGTCTTTATTTACTTGACATTAAAAATGGAAGGAAAATTACAGTGACTTCTACTTCGAGATGACCAGAATCTCTGAGAAAATTTCAAGTATCTCTTTTAAGCTTCATATATCCAAACTCTGAACTGTGAAAGGTGACTTATTCTAAACGATCTCTTTATCCCCCTTACTAGATTTACTGTATATAAGGAGAAGAGTTCTCTCCTGCTGGAAAAATCTCAATTTGTTCATCAGCTAATAATTTGGGAAGATTCAAGAGAATTACAAACTAATGCCACAAAATGCATATTGTGTGTCAAAAATAAGCAGCGAAGCATCTCACATTTATTAGTCATGGATTTTTGGACTTCTTCAGTCCCCGGTTACCTTCCTAAGCACAGAACTGTGATTTCACCTTCCCTACAAGAATCACCATCCTTGATCACATAGGTCTGCCTCTGAACAGACACCACACGCTAGTTAAGCCCATTCATGGTTTAGCATATCCCACAGGGCTTGAGCAGGAGTAACTCATTTGTGTCTGGTGAGGCTATGGGCAGATCTTCTGTCATGCTGCCTAACAATCAAATCCTAAGGACTGGATTTGAGCAAGCCTTTCATTGCACCATGACTGGAGACAAGAAGAGGAAAAGGAATATGGAAGGGGAGAAAAAGAGGCAAGGGAATGTGTTTTGCCAGAGAAATTAGACCACGTAAAATTTTCAAACATGACAGTAGGACAGGCAAGAGCTTATTTGTCACAAATTTTAAATTGACCATTAATAAAAGGTTTAGTGGACTTAGCCAGAGGCAGACTACTCATCCTTTTACAAAGCTGCTAGTTCTAGTAGCATTACTTAGACAACACAGTCAGCAAGTGTTGTGTATTTAATTCCACAAGCTGTAATAATTTCAGAGTCAGAGATAACAAACAAGTAATGTGACTTGTACATTTTTAAACAGAAAACTTTCCAAAAGAGCATGTCTTAAAATACTTTACTGGCAAATATTATATTATTTGTGAAAACATTGCAAAGGAATTTAATGCCAGCATCATTACATTGTATTTGAAGATAAAGTGGTGGGAACTTTTTCTCCTAACTTAAATGGAAACTGTAATAATGAAAAAGCTACACCACAAATGTCTTCTACAAATGGCTCAATGTATAAATTCTGCTCCCTTTTAACAGCAAAATAATCCCAAGAGATTATCTATAACAGGTAAGAACTTGCTGAACAGTACCTTTTTCAAGCAAAAAGACAAGTAGCTGCAAAACTCCTATGGAATCATTTGATTCCATATCTTGGATGATTATGTAAAGAGGACATCAGAAATAATCCCTTGATAATCATCATCAAAGTTGTAAGCAATGACCTGAGGGTCCCGCTGTACCATCTAATGAACACACAGGTGCTAGAAAAAGAATGATTTTCAGAAAGTATTACAACTTACCATATCCAGAGGCATTCCTGCTTCTGACCTCAAATTTGTCATGGAAGCCAGAACTACTGTTAAGCTCTTCCATGTGTGCATCAAGGCTGCTGAAGTCATTTACTTGATTTCTGTCACTGGTGAGAGAGTCAATGTGGGTTGGGATAGGTTCAAATGTAGGGTCTAACTCCAAGATCAGCCTGTTCAATTGTTCAATGGACTGATCAATATCCAAAGTTGGAGAAGCTGGCAAGTCCCCAGCATTTTGTCCTACATCCAGGCCATTTGTGTTCCTCTGAGGCACTGACCTTGACTTAAAATTGTCAGCACTTTCATGTTCTTCAGCTTCTGCAGCACCCAGCATGCTTCCTAGCCCTCTCTGCACAGCATCTCTGCTGCTAGAGCTACGTGTTGGAGCATCTGGGACTTGGGACTGGCTCTGGACACTGCCCAACTTCTCCACAGTGTTATGAATGCCAACCCTAATTTCATTCTCTGGGGAAAAACCATATTGGTGAGCAGTGACCATCTGCTGCTGGCGTACCCAGGTCTGAGTAGAGTAGTTAGTTGGGTGATAGGCTTGTGGATGGGGTGAGATAGAAGGATTCTGTTGCAATTGCTCAGTTGACTTTGGCTCAGTGCTTCCAAATGACCTCTCAAAGACAGAATCCACACCAATGCCCAGGTCTGCAACAAAATTGCGATGCTCTTCCCCAGCATTACTTCCAAAGCCATCTGACAAAAGTGAGTTTTGACTGCTCTTGTGGCAACTGAAGTTCCCTAGGTGGGTAGAATTCTGCCCTTCTGAGGAAGACAACGTCCCAATGCTGTCCACACTGTGAAGGTCATGATTAGGCATTTCATCATCCAGAATATCAGTCTCCCTGTCCTTCATTTTGGTGACTTCATTCATGTGAATGTGAGCTGGCACTATGTGGTGAGTAGCACTGTACTTGTTTTGAGCATCAGTCATATCCTTGGCAGTGCTGACAGAATCCTCTAGACCAAAGCCACTAAGTAGCAGGTCCAGTTCTGCCTTCTCTTGTGGGCTCAGACCCCATTTAACTCCTGGGACAAGGCGTTCCTCAGTCTTGTCTGTTCTGATGGAAGCTGTGGAGTGTCCAGAATCACTACTGACAGACAGGGTATGATCACTGTGATCAGGACTGCCTGTAACATGAACACCCTGAGAAACACCAGGGATGTTGCCGTCTGAAGAGCTCTTCTTTCTCACTTTTGCATACAGACTGCCATCAATGGATCCTTGGGTATGCAATACTGTGGAGGTACAAGTAAAAAGGAAAAGGAGAGATAAGGACAAGGCATCATATAAGGGCTTTGACTAGTGTCATGCCACAAGTATTGTTAACACTAACGGTATTGTTTCTGCAAAACTAAATCAACTCTGTAACTACAGCAAATACCAATGGCCAATGACATTATCTTCTTTAATTTCATAAGACTTTTCTTGATGGAAATACAATATGACATTTGTAGCTCAAGATCAAATAAAATCCTCTCTTTTTATTCTGTTTTGAGTGCATGTTTATGGCACCACAAACTCTTCATACTAATTTAAAGAATCCCCCGTTACAGTACTAGAAATTTGAGAGTATCTACTATGCATTCCATTCAGAGCAAGAATGGTAGAAACCTACCAGCAATACTTGCTTTCAATATATATATATATATATATAAAATGTAATTATTACTTAGTCCATTTTTACTTGATGGTCTGACTATACTACAAAGAATAATTTTCTCATTTTCTTGGTGATGCAAGGAAAACACAAGCTTTTAATCAGAGCTGCAGTCCTTGGAATATACATAAAGCCTCTTCACAAAAGAAGGTACAAGTAAATGTTAAAAAGTATGACATTTCTACATATATGGAGGATCTGGTACGCATGTCATGTTTTTGTTTCAAAGAAGGACTAATGAACTTAAGTGGCAGCCTCCCCAGAAGTAACTATATTTGCCTTACTCCCATCTTACACATCACACCTAACACATCATACAGGTTAGACCAACATGAGGTTAAAATATGGCTACTGAATTTTTATCCAGTGGTGAAAACAAGTACAGTTCTATTTCTCAAGGAAAGTTTTAGAAATAAATATGTCTAGTGTCTGTAAAGCTGAGAAAGTAAAGTGAGTAGTTCCACTTAAAAACTACTTAACATTCATTTACTAGAATATTTATATTAAGTAGATATTTCTGAAAAACTTTTTGTACTCATAGTCTGAGAATGGTTTGAGATTAAGAAAATTAAACCATTAAAATTTAGGAACAGGCAGACTTTTCTCAAAAGTTACCTCAACTACATCTGTTGTAGCTCCAGAATCAAAAGCCCCATGGAGAGTCCAATGCATTACAACATCAACTCTACCATGCATTTTCAAAGTATGTGTAAAATGGCATCATGATCATGAACTGCCAAACTAGGAAACTTTTCTAGGCAATACCCATTTAGAAAAAGCATTATGCAGAAATTGTACTCACAATGATAATTAATTCATTTGAATTTATAATGACAAGAAGAGTGGTCTGGTTGGAAAAAGTTTTGGGGACAAAACACTGACAAGGTTCCATCAGTTAAAATACTTACATACTAAAGGTTATACAATAGTTTTAATAGATTTCAGCTAAAGTAAAGGACAATCTTTTACTTTGGAGGGACTAGGAACTATTATTTGTCTGATGTTGATCTTAAAAACAGCACATGCAAAACACCAAAATACTCCTTTTCACAAAAAGTTATCAAACTGAGCAAAAAGGAAAACAACTCCCCTTGCTGTAAAATTTATCTGTGGATCAAGTTTGATGTGTAAATTCCTTGTTGAAAAGGGCTGCTATGCATGAGGCTGAATGTCTGTATACAATACTTAAAACCAGTATTTTTGAAAGATGCATCAAAAATACAGCCAACGGACAGTTTCTCAGGCTTTTTCATGCTGTGATTTCTCATAAGCTTCCACAACCTTCTAAAACTATGAAGCACACTTGGTGTTTCATGTGAAGTATTTTGATACAGTTACCACAATAAATTGCAGAATTAAAAAAAACCAACCAAACAAACAAACAAAAAGAAACAGAACTAGGAGTAACTATTTGGTGGGGTTTTTTTACTGTATGCTTGGTTTTAAATTAAAAAACTAGAAAACAATAAAAAACCCTGCTTTGTTTGGAATAGTTGTATATCCTGACAAAACACAGACTTGAAAACAGGTCTGAACTAGAATGCAGTGAAGTAAATGCAGAACCAGTACATAGTAATGTAATAGTTCAAATTATAAAGTCTTCTTGTCTGACTGTTCTGTTACTCAAAACTAGGCTCTATGCCTTAAAAATGCTAGTCAGACTAAATGCTGTAGTGGGTTGACCTTGGCTCTCATGCCAGGTGCCCACCACGCCACTTTATCAACTTCCCAGGCAACCAAAGAGAAAAATAAGGTGGAAAACGTTGAGATAAGGCAGTTTATTAAAGCAAGAAAAAACCGAAAGTTTGCATGCATAAGCAAAGGGGGGAAAAGTGATCTCTACCTTTCAGCAGAAAGTAATGTTCAGCCACTTCCCAGAAAGCAGGACTTCCACACAGAGCGGTTGCTCCAAAAGGCAGACATTGTAAAATAACAAATGCCCCCATTCCTCTTCCTAGCTGTAGCTTTTATATCTGAGCTGACATCATATGGTGATGGAATTTCCCTTTGGTTAACTTGGGTCAGCTGTTTTTACCTAGTTGGGTCCCCTTCCAGGGTATTGCCCACTCCCAGCCCACTTGATGGGAGGATGGTATGAGAGAATTGTTAAAGAGATGGTGTGCCAGTGCTGCTCAGCAGCAGACAAAACACTGGTATATTATCAACAGTTTTCCAGCTACCAATGCAAAGCACAGCACTGTGAGGGCTCCCAGAGGTCAATTAACTCCAGCTCAGCCAGACCAAATACAATACCTCACACAAGATCAAACATTCCAGCATGCAGATTTGGTTCTCCTTGCAGAAATGGTAAGTACAAAAAAACTGTCAAATTCTCAAGTGCAGTCATGGAAGCAACGGAAAACTTTCGTGTATCTCCCTCTCTTAGCCTTTCCAGTACCATCATACATTACCATACAAGCACAGTGGCAGAAGTACAGACAAAAAGACACACTGACAGTGGAATATTGACCCAAGGGTCTTGCACAAGTGCACTCTGTAAGATTCAGAGATAAACCTGTCCAGTACTTCTTCCACTAGTACAAAATTATCAACTTTATTCTGCATTTTGCTAGGAATGCTAGGCAACCCCAAATATTTGGGGGTCTTTCAGCTGTAAATTGTACAGCTTCTACTCTGAAGAAGAGACCCAAGTACAGCTTACTTAAAATTTCACTCCGGAAAAAAAAAACCAAACAAACAAATAAAAAAATAAAAAAGCCTCAAACAAACAAAAAAAAGCAAAACCCACGAACAGAAAATTAAGTACTGCATTTATCTGTTAGTATCCTTAATTTATACTTAGTCTTAAACTACTTTACGATTCTCAGATAGCTTTCAAGGAAGTTTAAAAGCTTTTAAAAATAAACAACTTTAATAAATAAATAATAGTAAATAATAACAACTTTAATAAATAAATAACTTTAAGAAATAAACTTACTTAAAAGCTATCTCTCCTGGGTAACCAAAATTTTATTGTATACCATATCTATCTGTGCTCAGGATTGTAATTGTCTCCTTAAGACCCAGTTCTGTGTCTGGAAACATCGCCAGAGGTTGCCAGGGTTTCTTTACAAAGCTGGAGCACCCAAGCCAGGTTCTCTTTTCCCTGGTGGCTTTTGCTTGAGGCAGAGGCTTCACTTCCTCAGAGGTTGTTTCAGGTAAATTTTTCTGGGCTCACAAAAATAGCAACTCAAAAACCTGAATTTCACAATCAGAAACTGCTTTCAAGTAAATTTTGCAAACTCTGTCAACAGCACAAAGCCTGAGCTAGTCCAGGGCTGGGTCACCCCACATTGATGCTGCAACACCATTTTAGGAAAAAGAACATCACAGCTGAAAGTCTGGTTCACTACCAAGTTTCAAAAATCCTGTTATAGATGGGTAATATGACGATTGGCACTCACAATTAAAGGATGAATATTGTGTGTATGTTAAGAGAAGTTTTGTTGATGTATGGTTATGTTATTGTAGTTTGTTGTTTGGACACCTTCTATTGTCCCCATAGTCCCCTTTCCCCATCACTGTATTACTGCCGCTGGACAGTCTTGGTTGTCAGGGTTGTAAGGGACATGTGGAGGGAGACCGTGCACATATGTCCCTTGCACAGGGCAGTTGGGAATGGGGAACACCTCACCAGCAAGGAAGTTGCAAGAAGGTTTCCACCAATGGACAGCAAAGAACAGTTGACTGGCAGACTTCGGGAGGGGCCAGGGTTGCCTGATACAACACTACGGGTATAAAAAGCAGAGCAGCCATTTTGTGGATGAGCCCCTGGCAGTCAGCCACGCTCCCAGTGCTGTTCCTTTTTCCTTATTCCGTCCTTTGTTGTGTTGTTGAGGTTTAATAAACCTTTAAAATTTTAAAGTGAGCAGTTGTTTCTCACAATCTCTAAAGCATTTATTATTATTGGGAAGCCATTATTTCTTGGCTTCCCAAACAGAAATCTCATTGATCATAAGTACAGTGGTGAGCCTGACAGACATGACTTTTGATATTTACGCTAGAACTTAAGGAGCCATATTATGTGTCTGCAAATGAAATGCGAAACATAAGAGTTTGGGACCTGCTGATTTTTGGCTCTAAATTTAAGTGTTAACACAATATTATTAGACCTTACAAGATAACAATGTGATTGTGGGTCAAAATAATTTATTTGCAACTAGACAATTTTCTCTAATAGATAGCTGCCTTTTTAGGAACCAAAAAAATACCACTGTGCATTATAAACAGATAAGAAAAGATGAAACTCATAGCTGAACAAAAATCTAGCTGTTCCTGAGGAGTCTGAATATTTAAACTTGCAGGTTTTAATTGTGAAAATAAAATGTGTATTGCACATATCAAAATTATTTTCTAATTTGCCCAGCTGAAGGAAAACATTCTTAGATTAATTTGGAGTTTTTAAATTTAACTATCATCATAGAAGATAAAAAATAGTTTGGGTTGCAAGGGATGACTAAACATCATCTAATTCAAACCCCTCTGCCATGGGCAGGGACACCTTTCACTAGACCAGGTTGCTCAAAGCCCCATCCAACCTGGCCTTGAGTACTTCCAGGGATGGGGCATCCACAACTT